AAAAAAAATAATAAAATAAATAAATAAAATGAATTATAATATTATAATTACACACTAATTTCCTATTTTTAATAAAGAAAAAAATATTATTTTGTAAGTACAAAAAAATTCTAACATTTTCGTCTAGTTAATAAATTTTATTTACTAAGCTAATATATTTTTTATAATAAATTAATGTAAAAAGAAAAGTATAATGATCGTTTAATATTATTAAAAAAATAAAGTTCAAACTAATTAAATAAATACTAATTAAAAACCATAGTTAAAAATTAAAAATTAATAAATTTAAAATTAAAAATTTTCAATCTGCTGATCGTTTACACCCTATCCTTATTCACTAATTCAAAACCGTTAAATAAAAAATTTTACTAAACATATACTTGGTAATGATTTTTAATAAATAAATTTATCAAAACATTTATTCTTAGTAATTTGACAAAACTATTAATCATTACCTCGAAATCCTTATATCAAATAGCCTTAAAACTATGCAACGTCCAAAATTGAGGGACCGAAACTAACATAAAAAAAAAAAAAACAAACTATTAGATAAAACAGGAGAGAGTTGATTGATATTTTGATATAGAGCAAGAAGCACAAACCAACTATCTAAGAAGATCTTGTCCTGAAGCAAAGTCGTCAAGGGTCGTAATGAAACGCCATCTTCGTTCTGGATAAAGTACTTGGATACAGGTGCTATAACCATATAGTCTCTGAGGATCACCATGATGATCATTAACAATAGCAGAGTAAGTGAGAACACTGTAGGTCGCTAGGAGCCAAAAGATGCCGTCCAACATCATGGGCGCATCGGGGTTCTGCGTGCCCAACTGGGTTGCTATCTCTTGTGGGGAGAGCTTGGCATCAGCTCCGGCTTTCGATATGATCTGGAAAATGTCCAGTTGAAGTGCAGCATGCAGAGTCATGGGCAGAGTGGCTGAGTTGACAAGCTGCATTGCGTATGAGGAAGCTCGTTCCTCGTGATCTTCCTGTCTATTACTGGCATGGATTTGGCTTTTGGTTTCATTTGAAGAGGCCATTTAATTTGGGTGATCAAACTTCGAAGATATACAGTTGGATATTCAAAGTGTATGATTAATTGGAGTGAATTTTTGCCAATATATAGGATAAGGTTGGATTAGGTAAATTAGCTATCAATATGTTTCAACTTGAATGGAGAATGACATTGAAGGGATCCAAGGGAAATGGAATCGTTAGTCCATTTCAGCGATCAGTACCATATATGGATAGGCAAACGTTATAAGTAGTAGACTTTAATTTATGGGGTCATGTTTGGTTTGGCTAAATGATTATTTCTTAATCAAATTATAAAAATAAAATAAATTTAAGAAATTTTTGGTAAGTTAAAGGATGAATGAGAAAACCCCACAGTTATATCAATTGGTAAACAAATGTGGTTTTATAAGTTTGATTCAAATTTTAAGTTTTAAAGCAACCACTTAAAGAAATTAATTTTTCATAAATCTATCAGGTAAATGTGGAGAATGCACTTTTAAAATTACTCGATGAGGAATTAGTTTTGAAATATATAAAAATTAGTCTAAAATACCCTAATTATAAATAAAAAAAATGAATGAACAAGGAATATGCACTCATGTCATTTTTTTTAAGAATATATATTCTTTTTTTTAA